CCCACCCACCCAAAATATTGCTTTTGATACTTGGTATATAGGGCTTACATGCGTGCATGACCATATAAAAATGTGCATGTGTGTAAAGCAATACAACCCAATGCAGCTCCATCGAACCTATTTGTGCACAGTTGTTAATAGGAATTTTGCTCACCAGATCAGTAAGCTCATGGTTGGTAGTAATAATTTCATCTTGACCCGTCTACACCTAACCCATTGCAATCGAGTCAAAAAATGGCTAAATGCAAGTTGAGTATGTGTCCACTCATGCGTATATGAGCATCAAAATCACACCCTAATGTAGGACACAGATCTGATTCGACCAAGCTAAGCCTAGGTCAAACCACAATTGCTCTGTCAATTTCATATTCCAAATTAATATTACAAGTGTTATCAAGATACTAGTTTCTCACCCTTTATTGACTGGCAAAACCAAAGCTCATTGAATAGAATGATCCTTGAACTAAAGCACCACATGTTTAGACCCAAAATCGACACAAATTGTATTCATGAGCAAGCGAGAAAGAAAAAAGGAACAAATAAATGCAAATATTCTCAGAGTGAGTTTCAGTGAAATGATAATGATTCCAAAAGCTTCATTACAATAAATTCATTGAAACAATTGCCTCAAAGCAAATATGTCCTAGAACAACATTCCATCATCACAAACAAATGGACAGTTACATCAAGCATAGCTCATATAAAATGGAACTATCTAGGTTACTCCTTCACCAAACATCAGCAATAATGCAATAAAGAAGTTATCCTTACCGGTCCTTAGCAATCTCTTCTAGAAAAGGACTACGTTGTCCAATTTTGTCATTGTAGAAGCCTGCATTCCCACCTGAAACTAATCCAGATACATCATCACTATGTCTATAACACAGAAGGCCACCAAAATAATATTCACAGAAAATTACCAGCAGTGCCAATTGAATTATGCCGGCTGATGACATCAGGTGGCATGTCCCCACGGTCTACAGCAGCGAACATCACCTGCTCAGCCCTGAGTCCTTGAGTATCGGACGCTAGCCCCTGAATCATACCACCTTCACTCTTCAATCCTCGCTTTATTCCCTGCATATCCAAGAAGTCACGTTCCACAGATGGTTTGGCCATCATATTGGGGTTTGTGTGAGTTGCCTGAGGGGTTTCATTAACGCCAGAAAAAAATGAGTCTCCTTCATTTAGTGCACCAGAATTAGATCTAAGGAGCAATCTTTCACCACTTTCCAAACCACTCGATATCTCATTGCCTATATGAACCAGTGATGGTCCACCAGAATTCGAACCATAAGACCCCACAGCAAATGGGTGGCTCAGACCTGCTTCTTGATCTGAGAGAAGACTGAAAGAAAGATTCGAAGAGCTTGCCCCAGAATAGGGACCAGAAGGTGCCCTTATTTCATGGGATACTCCGTCATTCACATCTAACATCTCAGTAGCCTGACGGCCTGATTTCCAATGAAGCAGTTCCATAAGCAACCTCTTTGAACTGTCATCATTTGTTCCAGCCGACATCCATAAACTCGGATCTTCAGAAGTCCTTCTGACTTCTGCCTCCCTTTTCTGCCTCTCATTAGTAAGATGCAATTGTTGAATCCTGGATTCCATCCAGTCATTTTGTAGCAATCCATTGCTCTCAGAAAAGTGTCCCTCCACTGCATCCAGATGTGAGGCATGAAACTGGTTGGGAACTACAGGGTGGTGAGAGAGATGAGGGTAGACACCAGAGGAGAACCCAGCCACTTGACCAGCAGTTGGTTCTTGCATATCTAAACCTTGTGCACGAGCTATGGAATTCACAACATCAAGGTTCATTCCTGGCTCACCTACAGGTAATGACATTGAGCGCTCAGATGGAAGTAAGCCAGGGTCATAAAGACCTCGCTGGAGTCGATCCTGGAATGATAGATTCCGTTCAAGATGACCAACACGCTCCTCAGGAGATAATCTCTGACGCTGCTGGTAGAAATCTAATGGACCAAACCCTGCAGAATTAATTCGGTGAGCACCAGCAGGAGTTCGAAGAAACTGATTGGTTTCATCAACAGGCCAGACAGAACCAATTAGCCTATCTTCCTCCATTTCCATCCTCTGCCTCAATCCCATTGGCAACTGCCTTGCCTGCAACTGTTCCTGCGGAAGGAACTGTTGTTCCAATGACTGCCTCTGGCCATGCTTGGCGTGTGATAGGAGCTCAAATAAATCACTTTGATCACCATGGTGTGTCATTTGTCCAAATTTCCCTTGAAAGAGATGCTCAAGGGATGGGTCAGCATGCCTTGGAGGATGATGGGAATATTGTTGGAGTTCATTTTGAATGTGCTGCTTTAATAAAATCTGATCAAGAGCATTGTTGGATCTAGTAGTATCAACATGTGACTGCCCGNAAAGAGATGCTCAAGGGATGGGTCAGCATGCCTTGGAGGATGATGGGAATATTGTTGAAGTTCATTTTGAATGTGCTGCTTTAATAAAATCTGATCAAGAGCATTGTTGGATCTAGTAGTATCAACATGTGACTGCCCGCGGCCAGGCTCACGCATATGGCTCTGCAGCAATTGTTCAAGAAGCACCTGTTGAGCCTCGGACTGCCGTTGTTCCCTCAATAGCAGTTGTTGTTGATGAAACTTTTGCTGTTGCTGCAATTGATGCTGTTGAAGCTGAAGATGCCTCTGCTGTTGCATCTGAAGTGCCAAAAGATGTTCTAGATCTTGCCCTTTCTGACTGGCCAATTGTTGTTGGTGAACAGAATTCCGACCTTGCAATTGTTCAAGCATCGTTTCATTTAAGTGGGAATGAGGAGATAACAGATTATGCTGCTGGAGATGCTGTTGTTGCAACTGTTGGGATAACCGTTTCTCGGCTAAATCAAAACGTTTGGAATCTTGATCCATGCGTGACAACTGGTGAGAGTCCATAGCATCTTCATAGAAGTTGGGGTCCAGGAGTGTATTTCTCCTATAAACATCAGGCAGTGTCCCTGCAGCATTAGCTGAATCAGCCCTTGCACCATAAGGGGCAACCCTTCCAGCTATAGGGCCCATAGGTTGATTCTGAACGCCACTGCTGAAAGGTGTATTTGATGACTGGGCATTCCTTGTATAAGAGCCTTCAAGCTCAGACCATAACAAGCCGAGAGGATGCAATCTATTATCTTGCAGAATTGGCATGCCAGGGTCTGTCAATTCACTTGAAAAAGAACTGACAATGCCCATAGGAGTCTGCCCAATAGGATTGCCATTACTGCCAGGTCTTCCTGGAAACACAATTTCTGTGAAGAAGGAAAGGAAAAATATTAGGGTTGTATATGCATACATTCAAAAGGGTAGTAAAACCGAGAAAATTAGCGAGAGAAGCAACTAACCTTCATCTTCAGCAACAAAATCATGAAAGCTTTGACCCTCAGAAGATGGGAGTTGCAATGGACCTTCAGGCTCAGATGTTCTCGACTGAACATACTGTGCAGAGGGACCATCAAACTCAGACGGCTGCCAGCCATCAGATGCAACTGAATAAATGATTTCAGAGGCAGAAACAGGAACAGAAGCAGGTATATTATCTTCCAGCTTTGCCTCAAAAAATTTAGACTCTTCTACCTTAGAACTTAAATTGGCGCTACTGGAATACCCACATTTAACTATCAAATGTGGCATGACCTCACCCAAATCTTGAAAAGGTATTTCTTCTGGAGCATCTGCCAAGCGGACTGGCAAATCTGTACCAAAAAACCCTTGTTCAAACCATGAAATGATGTCAACCCCAAGAAATGGTCCCTGGATCTCCCCTTGAGGATCACGGTAAAACAAACTTAGCTCCTCAGGTTGTATCTGCCTTTCAAACTGCTTTTCATTGATATTGCCCTCTAAGGGCTGTAAATGGCCAGTCCAGCACTGCTCAGAAGATGGCAGCACACATCGAGGGTGCAAATCATCAGGAAGCTTGGTACTGGTATCAAAAGCAACAAGAGACTCGATGGTATGGAACACAGGATGTTTGGTAGCAGTACAATCTGCAACTATGGACTGAGAAACATCATGGTGAGCACTGCCAATCTCCTGTGTAATGCTGACATCGTTACTTCTCGACATTTTTGACATAGCTTCATCTGTGTTCGGCCCCATCAGAGACTCGGGAACGTTTTGTTCCCTAACACGACTAACCTCTACCCCTGAAACAATGTACATGTAGTCTCGTTCAGAAGTTATAAACTTAAANCAGAGACTCGGGAACGTTTTGTTCCCTAACACGACTAACCTCTACCCCTGAAACAATTTACATGTAGTCTCATTCAGAAGTTATAAACTTAATAAGAATCTTGGCGTTCAAGGTAGAAAGGGGATCTATTACTCACCATCCAAGTACATCTTCGGACCATTGTCACAAAAGATGCTATCAATATCAGCTTGATGACCATTTTCATTTGCAGCTTTTTCAATATCAACTGTCTCCTCAGGGATAACTGTGGGGAGTACACTTGGTTTTGCATTGGTGAGTTCTAAGTCTCCGACATCTGGAAAGAAATACTCTCAAAAGATGTCAGCAAAAATCAAGAACCAAAAAGAGTCCGTAGAAACAAACAGCAACGAATGACAGAGATTGAATTGTCTGTACCATTATCAGTTGATCTGGCCTTTCTAACTGAATTGTACGACACCCCACTACTGGTGATTTTTCCATGCCATATCTCGCCGAGGACAGCCTGTAACCATTGCATGATCCCGTTTACAAAATCCATTAATTTGACAACAAAATACTTTTAAAAAAAATAAAAAAAAAACCAACCAAACAAGGCAAGCAAAATAACTTCACTACGGGAATCCTAGGGCTTACCTCCTCTTCAATATCAGGAGAGACAAAAGCTAATGGTTCAATGATGGTTAGACATGTTACATCAGGTACTTCCTCAAGATTGTCAGGTATGTTCACAAAAGATGGATCCAGCTTTTGCATACGGTAAATGTCAAGAAGCTTCCCCCTTGGATAGATAAATGTATCAGGTAACAGGCTTGGCTTCCCAAGGACACTTTCATTCTTGTCAAAATGAGATGCACCAATGGGACCTGAAAATGGAGGCCTTACACTAGATCTTCCACGTCCCAAAGTAAACCCCACATTTGAACTCTCCACACGTCCTCTCTCGAGTCCAAATCCAGGTGCAGTTCGGAAAGAACCTGGCCCAACAGAATTTCCCCCCATTCTATGGCGTGGCCTCCACTTATCACGAGAATCTGAATCACGCTCGGTAACTGCACGGCTGCTACCAACAAATGATTGATTGTCATAGTGGATATCTTCCTTCTCTACATCTGTCCTCTTCTCAGTCCGAGTTTCCTTCTCCTTGTCTTGAGGACCCCACCTAGATGACCATTTGATATCACGCCTCGCTTCAAGCCCAGAACTACGGTTACTAATGTCATGCCACCTATCAGAGGTGGGCAAAGATATATTTTCAGTAGGTTCTCTTCCCGACACACTGTCAACACGACGCTCCATTTTCCTCCGATCTCTTCTACCAAGCAAACCAGTTTCCCTTTCTTCTTCACGCCAGCGGCGGCCACTTTCTGTCTCAGTAATAATTTTTCTAAAATCTTTCTTGTCATCAGGTCCTTCAGAACGCGAACCCTCCTTCTGATTGATGTCAGCTGCATTTCCAAGTGACATGGAGCTCAGTGCACGCATTTCCTGCAATATAATATGATATATCGTAATCAGGAATGATATCTAATTATTTAATTTACTGGCAGGTACTCACATCAGAATAAGGAATATGCAGATAAATGCCAAACATTCTGTCAGATGGAAATCTAGCCAGCCAAATTTTGTTCAGAACTCCAAAAACATTGACATAATGAATTTTTTTTGCTAAACGTACTAGAAAACTCACAATGACAAAAAAAAAAAAAAAAAACAGATATGCCAACCAGGAAAGATAAGCTTCCCCTACAAAGTAAAGTCTGTAACATGGCATCTTAAATGAAATTCAATGCCTCAACAGGTTATTTGAAAGAAACATGAAAACAAAATGTAAAATTATTGTTCACTTCGAAGATATAAAATAATTATATAAAGCATCAAAAGTTAGTTTCAGACAAAAAACAAATTTATCTTCTGTGGATGACTGAACACTCACCGTCTTAGTCTCACTTGTTTTAGCATACAGCCATTGGGGAGACAAAGGAATGTTGCCTTCTGATGCTGTTTGATCTGCGGCAATTATCAATTAATCGTCAGAAATTTCATGAGTGCAGGGAGATACATGACATAATGACAGAAAGTAAAACAGCAAACAAAAGATTGTTTAATTATCTGAAAATTGGACCTGATACTAAAGACTGAAGCCCAAAACAAGTTACCTTTTGACTCCTCAAGTAATCCAATGATCACCTTTGCCTCATCGCTTCCTCCGGAAGTTTCCACTGTTGGCATCAATCCAACCATAAAGAGTAAACATAGGATTCTAGTACCTTTAATATCTTAGTACAAATAATCACTAAAACAATAACCTGGTGTTGATAGGACTCTAGAACATTCAAAAAAGGGGGATGGGAAGAGCCAATTGCAAACACACTTTTATGATAAGCAAAGAAAAAAACAATAAAATGTATGAAAAAATGCAAGGACATACACGCAATTAACAATATGATGAAACAAGAAACAATAACCAATAAACAGCAAAACTGGATAAAAGATATATCCCATCATATGCATATGGGGAGTTCATAGTTGGTTATTGATATACAAATGATATTAAGTCCAATTCACCAAACAGCAAAGGTATCAAACAAACACCGATAGACAAATAGCGACAGTCATGTCCGGCGACCAATTTCCTGGATGGTATCAAATAACTACAAAGGGGAAGAACCAGTTAAGCAAAGCTACTCAGACAGAGCAGTTGTATGCCAAAACCCTACCATATATCTACTCCCATAATCCCCAAACACTCACTTGCACATACATCTCCAATACTCCTGAACAAATCCATAATTTAATCAACCATAACCATAAATTTCATACTTTTCTGTATACGGCAAAAACATGTTTGACATTGGGTTGTTTGAAGACTTTGCGCTCATTTCTTTCTTGAAGACTTCACTTTTAGTTTTTGAGACATTTTTTACAAAAGAGCCATCTGAATAACATCAACACATCAAGAAAATTTAAATTGAAGCCACCTGATCTGAAACCCTAGAATTCGAGTTTGGTTTCAATTGAAGTATCGTCTTAAACTCGAATACATTCAGATCGATAACCCCTAATCCAACATTGACCTAAAACAGTAGAACCCAATCATCAAATTATTACTGTTCAAAAAAAAATTATCAAATTATTAAATGGAACAGCAGTTTAATTTGAGGGACAGGAATACAAGAGTCGTAAGTTGAGTACCTTTGGAGGTCAAAGACTGATCGGACAGTTTGGATGAGAGGAGATCATCGGGGAGATCGAGCTTGTCCTGAGCCATCGGACTGTCGATAAGTCACGAAGTACGACGAGAAGATCGGGGGAGAGAGAGTGAATCAAAGGATGTGTCGTCCCAGAGCAGAGAGAGTAAGAGAGAATAGACAGAGAGCTTGTGCAGATTGCAGCAGAATGGGAGATTTGAGAGATTTTTAGGTTGGAAAGCTTTTGTTGGACACTACCAGCAGAGAGAGAGAGAGAGAGAGAGAGAGAGAGAGGAAGGAGAAGAAAAGGGTGAGGGTTTGGGTGGTCAGAACAGCCAAATCAAGTAACCAAGAATTATTATGATTTCCAAGTAAATAATTTTTGAACTCAGTAGTCGGAAAACAAATTTACGAGAAAGTAACGGGGAAAAGAAGTATTTATCTGCGGCCATAAAAAGCACATGGACGACTTTTTGTATATCAGTCTACTGCAGTAAAAAGAGCACCGCTTTCGCTCCATAAAAATGGATAAATATAACAATAAAAAATAAAATTACTGAATTCAAGAGAATAATTATTATAGAACAATGTTATTGAGATATAATTTATGGACATAATTTAGGAACATAATGAGTTGTCACTAATGTTGTGATAATGAATTCATTTAATGCTACAATGAGAATCATCATTAAATACATTTCACTATCATTTTATTTGTGACAACTCATTATGTCATAAAATTATGTCTCAATAGCATTAGTGATTATTATAAGCATAACCATTCATTCTATCAATTTCTCTAGATTTAATTTCTTAAAAAGCAATCAAAAAATGACAATTTTTTTTTAAAAAAAAGAAAAACACAATTGAGTTTCAAATAGAAGCACAATAAAATACCAAAGTGGCGTACCAGATAAATTGTGTTTTTGTAGATGTTAAAAAAGTGATAGTTGCCTAGAAGACGAAAGAATAAATTCGGCAATTTGATTCCTATTTTTTGATAACAATTGATTAGGGAATTGTTAGATTTATAATTTTGATGTTAAGAAGTCATTTGAAAACCAATTACTAATGTTTTTGTATTCTCTTATTTTTATAAACATAAAGAAAGTAAAATGTCTTCCAATGAATAAACCGAGTGAAAACCTTTGGATTTATCATCTTGGTTAATTGTTCTAATTTTCCTTCTTTTTTCTCTCTTATCGAGCAAAATTATAATATAAGTTTGCTACCAATAAATTCAATTTGTTTGACATTTAAGTGGTTATTCGTAGGGATGTCAAACATGTTAAGTTAAACGGTTACGTATCAAATAAAAAATATGTAAATTCATACACGATCTATTTAATAAACGGGTAATACGACGCAGCTCGTTTAACCCGTTTAATTAATATTACTTAAATATTATAAATTTGAAACTAAAATCAGGTAATAAGCTGCCCACTTGGCTCGGCTCATCACCAAAGGAAGCTGCAAGACTATCAAGCCGCTACCAAGAGTTAAATGATAAGTATATTGCTCCCCTTATAGGCACATAGACCTCAACTCTTCAACTAGTTTCCGATGGGGGACAAGAGAAGTGCTTGTCTAATTGTTGTTCTAATTTTCTATTACTTATTGTATACATTTGAGCTACCTTTTTTTCTTTCAAATTTTTATTTTTTATTTCTTTCAATTTTGACTAATTTTTTAAAATAATTATTAATTTATTATTATATTAATTTTGTTTAAACGGACGATAAACGAGTTGACATATCTCATCAAAATACGACTCGTTTATTAAATATATTTGATAGGTCACCCGTTAAGATTTCACTCAAATCTGTTTAATTCATGTCAGAGTTTGAGAGGCCTAGCCATTAGTGTAGAATTATTCATTTTAGTTGGAGAGTGCACTAAGTTTTGTTGGCAATAACTCAAACAATGCCACGTACGTGATGAAATTAAGGGCGGAGCCACTTTTGGTCAAGCCCACCCTGTCTTTTGAAAAACTTTTTTATATGGTAGTAATTTGGGACTATTCTTTTGTTCATTTTAAGAATTTATCCGCCTAAACTTTTTAAACTTTGAATAATGGTGATAAATTTTTTTATTTTTAGTTAGGCAGGGGTCCATTGACTCTCAAAAACTAATTTTTATTCTTTAATTGAATAAGATATAAGCAAAATATCATAATGATGGACCATATTACATCTCTTTTAGTACAAGTGGTCTCAATTATCTTTCTGTAAATCAGTAGTTTGTGCTCTAATTCAAAATTATTTTTCACTATTTCAAATATTCAATTTTTTAACAACACGGAGGATGATCTCAACTAAGTATAGCAAAAAATGAGGAATAATTTTGTCATAAACATGTGAATGATGAGGTTTCAAAGAATAATATGTTTCACTTTCGTAAATAATTGGATTGAAATGTTTTTGTATCTATTTTGTTTAGACAAAAGAAAACTAATTTACAGTTTCGTATAGTAGTTTAATCTTAAATCTCTATATATTTTATTAGACCTAAAATTTTATTGTCAATTGATAAAAAAAATTAGTAGTACTTTGCCCCCTAACAGAGAAAACCGTCATAAGAATACCTACCATTTTGTCGTTGCAAAAACTGTTTTACAACTGAACATGTTGCAACAAAAACTTTTTCTTTTATTTACGGTAATTATTTTCGGTGTAGATGCTCTCATATCCCAATAAATTGTACGAATAATATAGCTGGTAGAAATAAAAAAAGTTCAAATGCATAAAGAGGGTTATATCCCACACACAACCATATAAACATAGGTGTCCATACGTTTCTATAATTTTATTAGTCTTTTTTGTTTTTTTTTNCTCATATCCCAATAAATTGTACGAATAATATAGCTGGTAGAAATAAAAAAAGTTCAAATGCATAAAGAGGGTTATATCCCACACACAACTATATAAACATAGGTGTCCATACGTTTCTATAATTTTATTAGTCTTTTTTGTTTTTTTCCCCTCCTGAAACGCAATGTATTTTTTTTTAAATTGTCAAAAGTGTTCAGACCGGTTTATGCACATCTGGACTAATCTCTTCTTCAATTCGATCAAAGGCAGGTCATCCTCGGCAAAATTAAAGTATTCATAAAAAATAAATCTTTCATAACCTGATTAAAAAAATTGTCAAGTTTCAAAATTAAAATGTCTAGATTTACGGTACATTTCTACTACCAGTTGAACTGTCACGTGGAGTTATGGCAATGTTCTGCTGCTTCTCCGCAATGTACATATAACAACATGAGAAAATATAGACCAAAAAGCAAAAGTTTGAGACAAGTCGAAGCATTAGTACCTCAAAATCAATTTACCTTCAGGTATAAATCCGGGGTCAATGGTGACCAAGCAAGCATTTTTCTCTCCAACATTTCTGTCGCGAGTTGATCTCTGCAAGAAAGACAAAAACATTTGCTGCAGTGAAGCATATAAACTAAAAAGACTTGCCATTTTCTAACAACTGGCGCTCATCATAAAGCACTTAGCAGCAGACACTTGATGGTGAGGTCAATTAACATTTAACTGCTGTCCAATGTTCGATTTTCTTAAATGTGAATATGCACGGTCAAGGCGGGTTTATGTCGAGTTTTAACAGATTCGTGTGAAAATATGATAAAATTATATGGACAACTTATCAGACAAATTGACTAAAAACATTAAACAGTAGGGAGAAGCCAGTAGCTATTATAAGACATGGTGTAAACTAGTTGATCTGAAACTGCGGGTATTCTTGTCTCTAAGGTCCATTTCCCACAACTGCACTGTTTTGACTTGGTAGCTGCTGAATCTCACGAAATCATCTAGCTTGTTGATATATATGCTGGGAATCTAAACTTAGAGTGAGATAGTTGGCATTTTCCAAACCCTGCCAAGGAAAGCAGCAGTTTTCATGTAATTGTGAACTAAAAGTGACTTGGAAAATCTTCACTTACACGGTATGCATCCACACTTTTACAGGACAAATCAGAAAATAATTCTGCATATCCTCTATCAGTAACCAACTACAGTCAGGCAATTCACATGTATCTGATTCTGATGGGTACCCTGTTAAGCCCGAAAGGATTTGATAAAACATGATCACAAACAAAGTAAATGAAATTTAGAGCATACCATCAAAATAGTACAATAAACCCTGCTGAAAACCCATCCTATGACACATACAAAATCCACTGCTTTTGCATCTCCAACCTACATAGGGTCAGCCACACATTCATGGCTATCAATTTACATTCCTCACTCTCAAAAAGCAAACAAGAAGCATGGCACTTACAATCGACCCATTTCTAGAAGCCAAACAGTGCAGACACACATTACACATCTCATTATCTCCTAATAATGAACTGCTCAGCCAGTATGCCTCTTTTTCCTCCTCCTCATCCTGTCACACATGAATGCCTTCTCCAACTGGTCAACCCTATGCGTCAACGAGTTCAGCATTTGAGTCTGCATTTCATTCTTCTCAAACAGCTGCGCCATCAGGCTCACCATCTTCTCATTGTCCTCCACCAACCTCTCCAATAGTTCTCTGTTCCACTTGTTATCATCTCTCCTTTCAACACCCACACACTCTTTTACATCACCATCAGGCTGCTCTGCTCTCTGCACTTCCATCCCATCTTGGAACTTCTCTGAACAATTATTCTCTTCACCTCCTTCAATCGAACTCTGAGGATTCACTGAATACTCTGAATAGTCTTGTATCGGACTTGTTTCCGCACTTTCTTCTACAATCTTCTTCACAACACAATGTTCTTCATCTACCTTAACCGCAGAATCTATTCCAACTTCAGTAACCTCCATCATCTCACAATTCTCAGCTGGCGTGTCAACACTTCCCTCCTTAGCTTCGTATTTGCATGAATCAAACACAGATTCATGAGATGTTCCATCCACAGCTTTATCCGAACAATTGGCATAAGTGAATGATTAGCAGAATCTTCGACTTCCGGTTCTTCATCCCCCAATTCTTGATCTTCTGTTTGATCAGCAACATTCTCTAAGGAATCTTTAACTCCCAAGGTTTCGTCAACAGCTTCAGCAAGAGATTCAGAATAACCATCCACTTTTACCTCAACCACATGATCAGTATTTTGCGTACATAGGGTTTGATTAGAAGCAGCAACAATGGCATCAACTTTCTCCTGCAAACCAATGGCCTTATTGATCACAGCCTTTCTGCAATCTCTAATCCCAGAATCAAAGCCGCGAACAGAATCCAATTTTAAAAGCAGAACCATTAACGCCTCATTCACTTTCAACCTCTCCTTTTCGTCCCTCTGAATCAACTCAACGATTTCGCTCCTCGAAATTCTTCGTTCAATGTCATCGACTTGGCTCTTGATTGACGCAATTTTCTTCACGCTCCTCCTCACCAGGAAGCCTCTGACTACCTTCTGAATCTTCAAGGCGGAAGCCGACCGGGCCGCCTCTGACCCAACGAAATGGACCGGAATCGAAACGACCTTCATTGACGACGTCGTTGCGGGGCTCCGCTGAAGCGAATGCACTGGCATTTCCCTGACGGAGGGAGAGTAGGGAGCGCGCGATGGTTGATAATAGTGGGTTCTGAAGAAGGGACTTTCCATCGTCGATTTTTGATCAAAGGAATCAGAAAGTGAATTCTGTGTGTGCGTTATGTTATCCTGTAATTGAAGACTGACAACTGGTTTGTTGGTTGTTTGATTTTATGCTGATGATGAATGGGGAAAGGATTCGGGTCTCATACTTATAACGGAGATGAAGATTCAGTTGATGATGAAGATCCAGAAGTTTCAGTTAGTTGTGATTTTTCTTTTCTGGAAGGTTCTGCAATTTCACGTACAGGATCTGGGATTCCAGATAAATGTCGAAACTTTTATTTGTACCCATTGGTCTGGCGGTCCACTGAGCCATGCGCTTGTCAGCCCCTCACGTGAAGGCCTATGTGAAGCCCAAAAGATGGAATCACTGCTGTGATTTTTAGACCACAATGCGCGACAGACAAGCATAAATCAAGGCCCCAAGGGCGGCTCACTGGGCGAAAGCCGACATCCTTGTCCATCAGCCGAACCAATTTTAAAACAATAAGGTAAAGTTGGAAAAATAAAGGGTTTTAAGGGAACGGTATTTTTTTTAGAAATTATAGGTACGTCTGGCAATTGTGTCGAGTTGAATAGTTTTGTACCGGGTAAAACGGATTTGTATAAAAAAATCATTCGTTTATATCTTATTCGTTTATATAAATGAGTTCAACTATCACACACATATACGAATTATTTATTAGACGGGTTATTCAATATAATCCGTGTGTCATCCGCTAAATAAGAGAATATGTTATATAATTTTGAGTCTCTATGAAAAATCATTAACTCGTCGTACATTACACATGTTTGAACTATTTACTATAACAATAAATCATGATCGAACAAGAAAATTAAGACAAAAAATAATCATTAAATGACTACTAAATTTGAATAATTCTGAGAGATAAGAGGTGTGAGATGAAATAGAGGCTGAGATACCTAACTTGTTTTTTAAAAATTTATTGTACCATTCTTAACGAGTTAAACAAGTTGAAACGAGTTTATTGGTTAAACACAAAACTGGTTCGTTTATTTCACGGATCTGCCGAGTTAACCTGTTAATCACCTGAACCCATTAAGACTACACCCAAACCCGCTAAATTTGTGTCGAGTTCGTGTCAGTTTCACGAGTCGTGTATAGAATTGTCAGCCCTAATTATAGGATAGAAAGTACCATTTTTAAAAACATAAGTAAAAAAATATACAATTCTTAACAAATCTCTAAAATACCTCATTCAGTAAAATAGAACTGATTCTTATATTTTTGCCTTCACAACCGTAACTTAAGGGATCTTATTCTCGATGTTATGATTGTCCATTCGAATTCCTCTATCTTCAACGTCATAGAAAGTAGCAGCCTCAAAGGGAAGGAAAAAGTTGCAATCTGACATAGCGATCTCCAAAACAAACTTCACACTATCACCCATTTTCTAATCCAACCCTACCATTAACGTATCTGAAATCTTCTCTCTCTGAAAATCTCAACCATCAAAAATACCAAAGACCCACGTGAGAATCCACACACACACACATACAGAGAAACAAAGATGGTGATTCCTAGTTTCTTGTTTCTCTCTAATTCATACACCCTTTCTTTCTTTGAAGTTTAAACCTATCAACAATCCCAAATAGACTCTGCATATAGTCCAGGAATAGATTTTAGAGAGAGAGAGATATGAAGCTTGATTTCTTGATTCTCTTAAAGAATTGGAATGGACAATCATAACCGAAACTTAAGGGATCCCTTAAGTTCGTTGATTCAAAATTTCATGTTGATCGTTGAATAAGACATGAAAATTCCTTTGAATAAGTGATGAGTTTTTTAATGGGTTTACTGTGAATAAAGGGAAATATCAGTATCAGACGGTGACGACTATACCAAAATTCATTGATGAAGAGGAAGATCGTTATGTTTCTCCCAACATTTTTATTTTATCTACTTTTTTCCCTCAATTACATTTTTACTTTGGGTGTTTGGTATTACATGCGCACCAAGTGTTCGATCATTTGCAAAAAAAAAAAAAAAACAAAGATGTCATATATATTGTGACGTGTGTCATGTCAATGTATGCAGTGTGACATTGATTTGTATTAGTGTGATATTATTGTAGCAGTGTGACATTGTCTTGTAGTACTGTGATATTATCGTGCGAGACAGTAAATCATTCTCCGAATTAGAATTATCATCTTGATTATTATATTGTGTCATATGTCATGTCAATATATGCAGTGTGACATTGACTTGTAGAAGTGTGACAATGGTTTGTAGCTGTGTGACATTTTTTAGTACTAGTGTGATATTGTCTTGTAACACTATGGNCCGAATTAGAATTATCATCTTGATTATTATATTGTGTCATATGTCATGTCAATATATGCAGTGTGACATTGACTTGTAGAAGTGTGACATTGGTTTGTAGCTGTGTGACATTTTTTAGTACCAGTGTGATATTGTCTTGTAACACTATGACATTATTGTTCAAGGCAATAAATCATCCTTCGAATTAGAATCATCATCTTGATTATTACGATCATCTCCATTTGAGTCATCATCATTAACATTTATCCTCACATGAACATGATTCAAGTTAAAAGACCGTAACGATTTTTAAAAAAAAAAACATATGGACTACATACTTGTTGGCTGATGCACTTTTTCCATTATAACTAACTGGAATATGTTTGAAAACCTGATTATAGAATGGATTGAATGACAGATGAAAATGTTTGAATGATAGAGGAATAGGTATGGAATATTTGAATAAACAGTTGGTCAATCACACATGAATAGGTAATTTAAAATTAAAAAAAAATACAGCATAAAATTAGGAAATTGAATCCCTAATATAACTACCATATTTATCTCCAATTAATAAAGGAAAAGAACAATTTAGTAAGAGAAAAAATTACAATTCAGCAAAAATGTATCTCTTCGCCAAACATTTACACATAAAAATACTTATACACAAATAAGTATGAAATTGTGTACCTTTTTACAATTTTTCCAAAAATAAATGCTGCAAAAAAAAAAAATCCATTAAAATCTTATTAGGGTTGGTCCGTTTGATGATCTATCAATGGCCTAAATGCCTCAACCCTTGCCTTGCCATGGACTGTTGGCTACAATCTAATTTATTGATCAAATTATATTTTATCATTGGATTGATAATGAATTTCCCTATTGCATGAGATATTTACTAATTCAATGGCTATGATGTATTAAGTCAACAAATAAGATCAACAAATTAGATCTAAATAGAATCTTTTCATTGATAACATCTATAATATCGAATTTGATAGTAAGGTAAGAGACAGTATTTTATCAATTTCGAATTTAGAGGAGCCATACCTGTTGCATATTATTAATGCTGATTTCTTTCAAACTATGTTACATGCAACAGTTTCTCTAGGGAAAGAAATTGTAGTGTATACTATATACAATATTCAACTTAATACACTGCTTGTCTGATCTGTAATATGAATAGTGTACTGAGCATTTATAATTTTGGGAAACCTTATCATGGTCGGTTCTGAGGGTTTGGAGTAGATGGAGGGACATACGGTATCCATGTTCTTGGGTCTCTTGGATTAAAAGCTGGTGGTGGAGAGTATAAAGGAATATGAGGTATCCAAGTTCTTGGGTCTCTTGGATCAAATGCTGGTGGGGGTGGAGGAGGAGGAGAGAACGAAGGGAAATGAGGTATCCAAGTTCTTGGGTCTCTTAGATCAAATGCTGGTGGGGGTGGAGGAGAAAGCAGGAAAGGTGTTGGAGTGAAGGGAGGGATAGGTGGGAAAGGAAAGGGCAGAGCTGGTGGTTTTGGGAATGACAATGGAGGGGACGGCAGAGGTTGCAAAGGTGGGAATGGTAGTTGAGGTAAAGGTGGTAGTGGAGGGAAGGGCAATGAAGGAAAGGGTGGGAGTTGAGGCAAAGGTGGTAGTGGAGGGAAGGGCAATGAAGGAAAGGGTGGGAGTTGAGGTAAAGGTGGTAGTGGAGGGAAAGGCAATGAAGGAAAGGGTGGCAATGGTGGTAGTTGAGGCAAAGGTGGAAGTTGAGGTAAAGGTGGTAGTGGAGGTAAAGGTGGTAATGGAGGTATAGGAGGCCATGGGAAACCATAGGGTGGGAAATAGGGGAGAAAGAATTTGGAGGAGTTCAAAGAGTTTGGCAGCTCTTCATTATATCCACACAAGGTAACATTTTTCTTTGGTGGTCTATAAGTCAGGGCACTTAAGCTGTAAACACACAGATTATTTTGTTTTGATTTGACTGTCATCTCATCAGAACTGGTCATTAAACCCGGAACATTGCAGGCTGAAGATGAGCTTCCTATCAAGCTTGCTTGGCAAAATGATTGAATTCCGCCAGAGCCTTTCACACAATCTACCCCATCAACAGATGGTATTTCCAACGTGTACACTCCATATTCGTTTGTAGTTCTGCTGACTGAAAAGGTAATCTGTTCTGTGGATCTTGGTGAATTGGCTTTAAACTTGCACTGTATATGAACATCCACACCTAGTCAGCAAAGGCCATAATTAAATTAAACCACAGAACAGATTGAATCTGTTGTTTAATAGGATTGAATGAAACTGGAATAGTTTCAGGTCTTTAAAAGAGATTATTAATTACCTGGCAAGAAGTAGCTATCTCTTGAGAAGGTGTTATTGTAGCAAACATCACAATAAACAGAACCCACAACAGTGATATGAGAGGTAGGTTGTGATGGTTGAGCCACCAGAAGAAGGGGATGAAAAAGCAGAAGTGAAAGAAGAGGAACAAAAAGAAATATTGGATCCATGGAAGCAAACAGAGAAGTGGCGGAACAGAAACTTCTATTGTTATAGTTGGTATTCTAATAATATATTCAAGAACATCTGAAATATTAGTATATATGTAGCACGACATTCGATGTGTTTGCATATAATGAGCCCGTGAGCAGTTGGTGTTAGGACCAACTGTGATCAGAGTTTCAGAAAAAAGCCTTCATCTGTTCATTACAAACAAAGACATGTGAAGGCCCTTTTTGGCAGATTGTGAGGTGAGTCTAGTGAGAAGGAGGGATAGAACTTTTAGTATATTCACGGGTAGAGGGAAGAATGCTTTATTATATGTGTCATATGCAGAAAGAAGAAAGGTTGTTCAAGGATTAATTGATATTGTGGATTTTCTGATGTTTTGGTTGGAGGCTTTTTGTGCTTGCATACACATTGCTGTCTTCTCTCTCTCTCTCTCTCTCTCTTGGGAGATAAAGCCTGTGATTCAATTATGAGTGCTGCTTGGTTGCTAGCTATCACAAAGCATGTTGGGTTGCTATCACAGATTCACAAAGCATGTATTGTCTTTATTACTTGCCAAACACTATGCAAACAACCAATGGTAATAAAAGTGATGGTGTGACAACAATGGTGAAGTGTCCATCTGAGGTTACCAGCGTAGAGACTAGGCCTTAATTGTAGAATGAAGCTTACAGCTAGCAGAACACTCCAAATGCATTATTGATCTTGGCCTAGTAATAAGCAGGCCAGAATGCAGCCCACTGCTTGCCTTAACGGACCACATCTTCTTAACCATAATAGGAACAAACAAACTTGAACTAGAGAACATTTACCAGTTGTCCACCACGCTTCATGGGCGGGTTGGGGCTGTATCATTCCATTTGTTGGTACGCAAAATGTCAGCAATTTCTCTTCCTAAATTTTAGTCATATCACGTTGGATTCATCCTTCAAAAAAAAAAATGCAAATCTCTCTTTGTTTAAACTTTAATAAATAGAGCCTTTTAAATTAGATACATACCACACATCAATTAAATTAAAAATAAATAAACATATGATTTATTGAAAGTGACGAGTTTAGATTTAACAGGGTCAGACTCAATTAATGAACTAGAACCAAATCAGCTACAATGACGGCCAAGCTCAATTCATATATTCAGCCCAGTTCATAGTTCAAGGAGTTTAGAAGGATTCGAGAACTTGAGGAGCGATTATTGAGATACTTACTTACGAAAATTAAGACAACCTTTAATTGTATTTACATTTTTGTAGTTCTCCGAAAATCTACTACTTTTACCCTGACGTCACCGCCTCAATTAAGATTATGTGCCTATAAATTGTAAGTTCTCTCTACATGAAAGGAGACCTTTATATGCACTCCAAACATAGTTTTTCTCTCTCCTAGTTATTATATTCCTCCCAAAGTTAACTATTGCTCTCTCTCGTTTACCTTATTTAATCAATATAACGTTCATCACTACCGTTGTCGTTTTTCAGAGTGGAGTAGGTCACTCGAACTGAATCACTATATATTTGAGTGTTGACCCGATATTTATATTATTGTCATTAATTATTTTATTAATTGTCTATTAATTATACTTTATCACTCGTTCGACTGTTAATTTTGTATGTATCATCAAAAAAATATATATATATATTAAAAGGCACGTGATTCCTAAACACACAGGAACAAGGTTATAGATCTTAGCTAAGGAAGGATCCCCTCCCCGCCGCATGATGATTGATGATTGATGAGTTGAGGACAAAAGGCATAAAAAAGACCCTCGAGAAGAAGGACAGCAGAAATTTCAGAGTGAGAGAGAGAGGCGCAACGAGCATTTACGGAGTGATTGTTGAGATTCCCATTCGTGACGGACACGGACACGGTCAGCGGACTAATTAAACAAAACAATAATGCACCGCCCCCAATCACTTTCTCACACTCTCCTCACATTCACACCTCCATTCCTTTAACAGACGAGAATGTTCCCATCGTGTGATCCGCCCATCCTAACTTTCCACACCTACTCCTCCTTTTTTTTTCTTTTTTCCGTGGTCGGAAGAAAATGTTTCATTCAAATTACGGAAATTAAAGTTTATAGTTAATTATTTATATTATTAATTAGAGGACATATTCAGATGCTTACAAAACCTTTCTAATCCTCTTTCAATCTATTCACTCATTTTTCTTAGCACAATCATAGAAGAGAAGTAAAATGATACTTAAATTTAATTTATTGATATTATTTGGTGGCCTAATCATTTTTTTTTATTATTGATTGACATCAAACTCCATTATTAATTAAAATTTTGTTATCAATTCAATGGTTATGATGTATTATTATATTATTCATTCCGTTCCTAAATATCTGTCGTTTAAAATTTTTGCACATGAATTAAAAAAGCTATTAAATAGCTCTAATATGAGTAAAAAATAATTATACAAAACTAAAATACTCTTATTCAATACGTATTGAAAAGAAAAAGAATATGAAAGACACTTAGTCTTAACTTAATCTATTGTATTGAAAAGTTAAGGATAAATTTGAAAAAAAAATATTAATTATGCTTTAGTTTCATTAAACGACAGATATTATAGGACAAAAAAAATTGTGTAAAACGACATATATTTAAGAACAATCAATTATATCTAAATAATATTTTTTTTGAGAGAAAATAATATATCCACAAATCTCCCTGTTAAAAAGAAAATAATAGAAAATTTATCTAGACACTCAAATTTAAAGAAAAGAAAATAAAGCTTTTAACTGAGTTGAAATCTCAAAGAGTGTTTGATAAATTGTTAAATAGTTCAATGAATCTTGGTAATTAAATCTTTGTCGTCAAATTACAAGAGATTTATCTTTTATGAAAATTTAAATTTCGACGTAAATAGTTTATTTTGGCCAAATTAAAAAAGATATTAATTGAGATATATATGAATTGATTTGAATATTATTGACCTAAAATAAAACAATATGATTAATACTACATGAATTTAAAAAATAGACTTAAAAATTAGATTTGATAATCTCAACCATTGAATAGGTAGTAGATCCCAATAAATACTGAGATCTACACTAAAATCAATGATTAAGATTATCAAGTCTAATTTTTAAATCTATTTTTTAAATCTATATAGCATTACTCAAACAATATTTAAACCAAGATGTAAATAGCCTACTAGTGTAATTAGGGGGAATGGAGGTACAGGAGCTCATTTCTGATGCAAGAGAAATTCGAAGACAAAGCCGGCTCCATTTCTGTCACACAACAGAAACCATCACCAATCATCTAGCACTCTATAATCTATCCCTCTGTCTAAGTCTTTTTTCTCTCTGTTTTTGTTGATAAACTTGAACTAGTACTTTATTCTTATGCTTTACCTCGTCTTTCCCTCCTCTAATTCATTTTGTCTCCTCCCTCAAGCTGCTGATCCGATATCCATACACAAGATTGAGTTTACATTTTTACATACACGTATATACCCTTTCAATCTCTCTATACTACTTTGAAAAGATTTGCTTCACGAATTAATTTGGGTGCATGATCGGCGATACTGAAGATTTTTAGGATTGAATAAAGTTCTGATTTTGAGGAGGTAAAATGGGTTGTTTTCCGTGCTTTGAATCAAGGGAGGAGGAAAAGCTTAATCCCCAGAAAGAGAGAGACGGCCGCAACGAAAACCACCTTTCTCTTCCCTCCAACATATCTCGGTTGTCTTCTGGTTAGTGTAGTCTTTCTCTCTCTCTCTCTCTCTGCATATAGAATTACATGTATTGTTGTTTGATCTGATCTGGGTNCCAACATATCTCGGTTGTCTTCTGGTTAGTGTAGTCTTTCTCTCTCTCTCTCTCTCTCTCTCTGCATATAGAATTACATGTATTGTTGTTTGATCTGATCTGGGCNCACCAGAAGAAGGGGATGAAAAAGCAGAAGTGAAAGAAGAGGAACAAAAAGAAATATTGGATCCATGGAAGCAAACAGAGAAGTGGCGGAACAGAAACTTCTATTGTTATAGTTGGTATTCTAATAATATATTCAAGAACATCTGAAATATTAGTATATATGTAGCACGACATTCGATGTGTTTGCATATAATGAGCCCGTGAGCAGTTGGTGTTAGGACCAACTGTGATCAGAGTTTCAGAAAAAAGCCTTCATCTGTTCATTACAAACAAAGACATGTGAAGGCCCTTTTTGGCAGATTGTGAGGTGAGTCTAGTGAGAAGGAGGGATAGAACTTTTAGTATATTCACGGGTAGAGGGAAGAATGCTTTATTATATGTGTCATATGCAGAAAGAAGAAAGGTTGTTCAAGGATTAATTGATATTGTGGATTTTCTGATGTTTTGGTTGGAGGCTTTTTGTGCTTGCATACACATTGCTGTCTTCTCTCTCTCTCTCTCTCTCTCTCTCTCTCTCTCTCTCTCTCTCTTGGGAGATAAAGCCTGTGATTCAATTATGAGTGCTGCTTGGTTGCTAGCTATCACAAAGCATGTTGGGTTGCTATCACAGATTCACAAAGCATGTATTGTCTTTATTACTTGCCAAACACTATGCAAACAACCAATGGTAATAAAAGTGATGGTGTGACAACAATGGTGAAGTGTCCATCTGAGGTTACCAGCGTAGAGACTAGGCCTTAATTGTAGAATGAAGCTTACAGCTAGCAGAACACTCCAAATGCATTATTGATCTTGGCCTAGTAATAAGCAGGCCAGAATGCAGCCCACTGCTTGCCTTAACGGACCACATCTTCTTAACCATAATAGGAACAAACAAACTTGAACTAGAGAACATTTACCAGTTGTCCACCACGCTTCATGGGCGGGTTGGGGCTGTATCATTCCATTTGTTGGTACGCAAAATGTCAGCAATTTCTCTTCCTAAATTTTAGTCATATCACGTTGGATTCATCCTTCAAAAAAAAAAATGCAAATCTCTCTTTGTTTAAACTTTAATAAATAGAGCCTTTTAAATTAGATACATACCACACATCAATTAAATTAAAAATAAATAAACATATGATTTATTGAAAGTGACGAGTTTAGATTTAACAGGGTCAGACTCAATTAATGAACTAGAACCAAATCAGCTACAATGACGGCCAAGCTCAATTCATATATTCAGCCCAGTTCATAGTTCAAGGAGTTTAGAAGGATTCGAGAACTTGAGGAGCGATTATTGAGATACTTACTTACGAAAATTAAGACAACCTTTAATTGTATTTACATTTTTGTAGTTCTCCGAAAATCTACTACTTTTACCCTGACGTCACCGCCTCAATTAAGATTATGTGCCTATAAATTGTAAGTTCTCTCTACATGAAAGGAGACCTTTATATGCACTCCAAACATAGTTTTTCTCTCTCCTAGTTATTATATTCCTCCCAAAGTTAACTATTGCTCTCTCTCGTTTACCTTATTTAATCAATATAACGTTCATCACTACCGTTGTCGTTTTTCAGAGTGGAGTAGGTCACTCGAACTGAATCACTATATATTTGAGTGTTGACCCGATATTTATATTATTGTCATTAATTATTTTATTAATTGTCTATTAATTATACTTTATCACTCGTTCGACTGTTAATTTTGTATGTATCATCAAAAAAATATATATATATATTAAAAGGCACGTGATTCCTAAACACACAGGAACAAGGTTATAGATCTTAGCTAAGGAAGGATCCCCTCCCCGCCGCATGATGATTGATGATTGATGAGTTGAGGACAAAAGGCATAAAAAAGACCCTCGAGAAGAAGGACAGCAGAAATTTCAGAGTGAGAGAGAGAGGCGCAACGAGCATTTACGGAGTGATTGTTGAGATTCCCATTCGTGACGGACACGGACACGGTCAGCGGACTAATTAAACAAAACAATAATGCACCGCCCCCAATCACTTTCTCACACTCTCCTCACATTCACACCTCCATTCCTTTAACAGACGAGAATGTTCCCATCGTGTGATCCGCCCATCCTAACTTTCCACACCTACTCCTCCTTTTTTTTTCTTTTTTCCGTGGTCGGAAGAAAATGTTTCATTCAAATTACGGAAATTAAAGTTTATAGTTAATTATTTATATTATTAATTAGAGGACATATTCAGATGCTTACAAAACCTTTCTAATCCTCTTTCAATCTATTCACTCATTTTTCTTAGCACAATCATAGAAGAGAAGTAAAATGATACTTAAATTTAATTTATTGATATTATTTGGTGGCCTAATCATTTTGTTTATTATTGATTGACATCAAACTCCATTATTAATTAAAATTTTGTTATCAATTCAATGATTATGATGTATTATTATATTATTCATTCCGTTCCTAAATATCTGTCGTTTAAAATTTTTGCACAGGAATTAAAAAAGCTATTAAATAGCTCTAATATGAGTAAAAAATAATTATACAAAACTAAAATACTCTTATTCAATACGTATTGAGAAGAAAAAGAATATGAAAGACACTTGGTCTTAACTTAATCTATTGTATTGAAAAGTTAAGGATAAATTTGAAAGAAAAAATATTAATTATGCTTTAGTTTCATTAAACGACAGATATTATAGGACAAAAAAAATTGTGTAAAACGACATATATTTAAGAACAATCAATTATATCTAAATAATATTTTTTTTGAGAGAAAATAATATATCCACAAATCTCCCTGTTAAAAAGAAAATAATAGAAAATTTATCTAGACACTCAAATTTAAAGAAAAGAAAATAAAGCTTTTAACTGAGTTGAAATCTCAAAGAGTGTTTGATAAATTGTTAAATAGTTCAATGAATCTTGGTAATTAAATCTTTGTCGTCAAATTACAAGAGATTTATCTTTTATGAAAATTTAAATTTCGACGTAAATAGTTTATTTTGGCCAAATTAAAAAAGATATTAATTGAGATATATATGAATTGATTTGAATATTATTGACCTAAAATAAAACAATATGATTAATACTACATGAATTTAAAAAATAGACTTAAAAATTAGATTTGATAATCTCAACCATTGAATAGGTAGTAGATCCCAATAAATACTGAGATCTACACTAAAATCAATGATTAAGATTATCAAGTCTAATTTTTAAATCTATTTTTTAAATCTATATAGCATTACTCAAACAATATTTAAACCAAGATGTAAATAGTCTACTAGTGTAATTAGGGGGAATGGAGGTACAGGAGCTCATTTCTGATGCAAGAGAAATCCGAAGACAAAGCCGGCTCCATTTCTGTCACACAACAGAAACCATCACCAATCATCTAGCACTCTATAATCTATCCCTCTGTCTAAGTCTTTTTTCTCTCTGTTTTTGTTGATAAACTTGAACTAGTACTTTATTCTTATGCTTTACCTCGTCTTTCCCTCCTCTAATTCATTTTGTCTCCTCCCTCAAGCTGCTGATCCGATATCCATACACAAGATTGAGTTTACATTTTTACATACACGTATATACCCTTTCAATCTCTCTATACTACTTTGAAAAGATTTGCTTCACGAATTAATTTGGGTGCATGATCGGCGATACTGAAGATTTTTAGGATTGAATAAAGTTCTGATTTTGAGGAGGTAAAATGGGTTGTTTTCCGTGCTTTGAATCAAGGGAGGAGGAAAAGCTTAATCCCCAGAAAGAGAGAGACGGCCGCAACGAAAACCACCTTTCTCTTCCCTCCAACATATCTCGGTTGTCTTCTGGTTAGTGTAGTCTTTCTCTCTCTCTCTCTCTCTCTCTCTGCATATAGAATTACATGTATTGTTGTTTGATCTGATCTGGGTATTGCTGATCTATGAATAGTTACTCCTATCCAGTTTAGCTTATGATTTCTGTGATTGTCCATCAGACTCGTCTGAGTTATTTGCTTTGTGCGGTTTGAGGTAGACCCCCAGCATGTTTTGGAATATGCGAAGGGTTTTGAATTATTTCCATTTGATTATGAAGAGAGCCCAAGTTGACTATATGATTGCTCTGATTATAATTAGGAGCCAAAAGAGTGGGGCTATTCTATATGATTGATAGGATCATGATGATGTATATGAGTTGTTTCATTCAAAGTTTCTGCAATCTCATTTTTTTGAATTTTGACCCCACACTGAATCAAAATTCAGGAGGATATTTCCCTGTTTGTAATTTGGGCATCGCATTGGATTAAAGCATAACTGAATCTCCCTAATTATTTTACCAACAAGATAGGATTGGGAATTATGCCGTATGAAAATTCTTAAATTTTCGTCTTGCCACTGTGATTGCAGATGTCATGATTAAACTTTCACACTTACAGAAAGATCTGCACTTTTTATCGAGTTTGCAGGAGCAGATAGACAGAAAACAAGAAGCAACGTGGGATTAAGGAGGGAATCATCAGGGCCAAAGAATGCACCTGATGCTCTGATTGCTGCTCAAACATTCACTTTTCGTGAGCTTGCAGCTGCAACAAACAATTTCAGCCCAGATTCCTTCTTAGGGGAAGGAGGATTTGGAAGTGTTTACAAAGGGCGGCTTCAGAGCACTGATCAGGTAGATTCTTCCTTTCTTTTTTGATTTTCGGCTATCAANGATAAAGCCTGTGATTCAATTATGAGTGCTGCTTGGTTGCTAGCTATCACAAAGCATGTTGGGTTGCTATCACAGATTCACAAAGCATGTATTGTCTTTATTACTTGCCAAACACTATGCAAACAACCAATGGTAATAAAAGTGATGGTGTGACAACAATGGTGAAGTGTCCATCTGAGGTTACCAGCGTAGAGACTAGGCCTTAATTGTAGAATGAAGCTTACAGCTAGCAGAACACTCCAAATGCATTATTGATCTTGGCCTAGTAATAAGCAAGCCAGAATGCAGCCCACTGCTTGCCTTAACGGACCACATCTTCTTAACCATAATAGGAACAAACAAACTTGAACTAGAGAACATTTACCAGTTGTCCACCACGCTTCATGGGCGGGTTGGGGCTGTATCATTCCATTTGTTGGTGCGCAAAATGTCAGCAATTTCTCTTCCTAAATTTTAGTCATATCACGTTGGATTCATCCTTCAAAAAAAAAAAAAAATGCAAATCTCTCTTTGTTTAAACTTTAATAAATAGAGCCTTTTAAATTAGATGCATACTACACATCAATTAAATTAAAAATAAATAAATAATATTTTTCTATATATAATGTGTCTTACTTAAATTTACATATGATTTATTAAAAGTGACGAGTTTAGATTTAACAGGGTCAGACTCAATTAATGAATTAGAACCAAATCAGCTACAAGGACGGCCAAGCTCAATTCATATATTTAGCCCAGTTCAGAGTTCAAGGAGTTTAGAAGGATTCGAGCACGTGAGGAGCGATTATTGAGATACTTACTTACGAAGATTAAGACAACCTTTAATTGTATTTACATTTTTGTAGTTCTCCGAAAATCTACTACCTTTACCCTGACGTCACCGCCTCAATTAAGAATCTGTGCCTATAAATTGTAAGTTCTCTTTACATGAAAGGAGACTTTTATATGCACTCCAAACATAATTTTTCTCTCTCCTAGTTATTATATTCCTCCCAAAGTTAACTATTGCTCTCTCTCGTTCACCTTATTTAATCAATATAACGTTCCCTCGCTACCGTTGTCGTTTTTCAGAGTGGAGTAGGTCACTCGAACTGAATCACTATATATTTGAGTGTTGACCCGATATTTATATTATTGTCATTAATTATTTTATTAATTATCCATTAATTATATTTTATCACTCGTTCGACTGTTGATTTTGTATGTATCATCAAAAAAAAATAAAAAAATATATTAAAAGGCACGTGATTCCTAAACACACAAGGAACAAGGTCNTCTCCCTAATTATTTTACCAACAAGATAGGATTGGGAATTATGCCGTATGAAAATTCTTAAATTTTCGTCTTGCCACTGTGATTGCAGATGTCATGATTAAACTTTCACACTTACAGAAAGATCTGCACTTTTTATCGAGTTTGCAGGAGCAGATAGACAGAAAACAAGAAGCAACGTGGGATTAAGGAGGGAATCATCAGGGCCAAAGAATGCACCTGATGCTCTGATTGCTGCTCAAACATTCACTTTTCGTGAGCTTGCAGCTGCAACAAACAATTTCAGCCCAGATTCCTTCTTAGGGGAAGGAGGATTTGGAAGTGTTTACAAAGGGCGGCTTCAGAGCACTGATCAGGTAGATTCTTCCTTTCTTTTTTGATTTTCGGCTATCAAATCCCATTCAGGTTGAAGTACTGCAAGGGTTAAATTTTAATCCCAAACAAGACTTGGAATTATTCCAGATGATGCACTGTATGTTTTCCAAACATATACACAACAGANAAATCCCATTCAGGTTGAAGTACTGCAAGGGTTAAATTTTAATCCCAAACAAGACTTTGGAATTATTCCAGATGATGCACTGTATGTTTTCCAAACATATACACAACAGAGCAACTAAGTTGGCAGAAGTGATTATGAAATATTTACAACCAAAAGAGACAAGGCATGCAAAAATCATCCTTAATCAAAAGCATAAGTTTGGGTTCCACTCATTTTTAGTTATAATAAAATTAAACCGAAGCAGGAAAAATACAAAACAGAGGTGGCTGATTTGGCCATCTTAATGTTGAGTCTTAAAGAGACCAAAGAAGTGGGAAACCAAGTTCGTGAAGAGAATAATCAAACGAAGTCAGAAGAGAACAAAAACACTAATCATTTCTCTAGTCATCCGTAATGTGGTTGAAAAAAATTTCCTTATAATTCACCTTATTCTTATATTTTTATCCTGGTTTTAAGAAGTGATTACTCAATTTGATCTCCATTAGTTGGGGGTGCTAGGAAGGGGTAGATCAATACCATACCCAACCTTTGACATTATTTGCTAAAAATAATCACCCTCATGTTTAATCCCACAACCTCGTGATTGTTAGCTCATGATTTCTACCACTGCACGAGACAGTGACATCCTAGTTTAAAATGAAATCTATATCTGCCTGATCATAATGTCCCCTTTTTTGTTGTTTAACATTTTTTCATGATTGACTTAAGGGCACACCTTTTTTAGCTGGCTTAGTTGCTTTTCAGATTTTCTACTTCTATTCCTTTGAGTATTGAAATAAACATAAGCTAGCTCCTCAAAAGGTTTTAAATCTCGAAACATCTGTTATAGCCTTATAGGTGAAGTATCTCGTGCTTGCATTTTCTGTTGATTAGTCATATTTTGCTATACAAACATTTATGAAAATTCAATGAATGTACTTGTACTTCCTTTACTCAATTTTGTGTTCGTATTAACTTATATTCCCCTAAATTACTTCTCTGGTAGTAACTACTATTGCTCTACCGTCATAAATACTATTGACATCTCACATTCAGTTTCTTATTTCTGTATACTCATTGATTTGCAATGAATTGTCAATAATGGTAGTGAACATATTCCATAAGTTCTTCAATAATGATACATAAAGTTGTTAGACCTTAGAAATAAAATTTTGTGAATCTTCATGAGATAACTCTGATGTTGATAAGAATGCCTGTTTTCTTCACTTTTCAGCTTCTAATTTCTTGGTGAAAGCTGTTTTTATTTATGTGCACTGTGGAACTTGCCACCTGATCCTCTTTTAATCAGTCAGGAGTGCACATCATTGTTTTCATTGATATTTACATTAAAATTGCGCTAACAATGGGGCTGTCTACCTCAGGTTGTAGCTGTTAAGCAACTGGATAGAGATGGTCTTCAGGGAAACCGGGAATTTCTAGTGGAGGTTCTCATGCTCAGCCTTCTCCACCACCCTAACCTAGTAAACTTGATAGGGTACTGTGCTGATGGGGACCAGCGGCTTCTTGTATATGAATTCATGCCCTTTGGATCACTAGAAGATCACCTTCATGGTAAGATTTTCTTTCATATTATTCTATTTACCAGATTATTTTCTTCACTGTTTCTCATTTGATGTGGTCATGGTGGAGTAATATACGACCCCTGAATCGTATAGTAATGGAGTTTTTCTGTTCCTTATCTTTTTCGTTTTGTTGCATTTTGGTGGTATAATAAGTATGACAGAAGTTCAATGCTTGATATTATGATATTTAGACAGAAGTTCATTGCCTGCAGTTCACTCTGCTCAATCCATTTTTCAAACGAGTGGGGTCATCTTTTTCGAAATCATGCCAATGTCCTAGTGTGTATGCACTCTTATGTAGATGACAAATAGCAATGTGTCTGTGTAGGAGATCCCTTGTTCTTTCAGTGACGTTGCACAGATGGATTTAAATACGCCGTTTTTGTTATCCTCAAGATTTGCCTTGTCCATGCCATGTTGCCAAACAGGAATCTACGATTGGGTGCTTAAGTCTTACTATTATTGTTAGTATTCAATAGGCTCTTGAGCTTTTGTTTTTTTTTTCTTTTTTTTCAATTATTGAGCTGTGTCTTGTAGAAGTATATTTACCTATGTATTATGACGATTGCTTGGGGAATGACTGTGGGAGTATGCTGTTCTGATGGATATATATTATGTGGCTACGATATCAATGCAAACGTTCTCACCCACCCCTTCAATGGGGAAAAAAAGTAACAACGGTTGTTATATTCGGTTAATGCTATTTGTACCTAATCAAGGGACCTAACGTATTGTGATATCATTAGATTGATAGTGGACTTCACTCAATGCCGAGATCCACTGCTAATCTAATGACCACAATGCATTAAATCACCAAATTAGGTCCTAAAAAATTGGTCCTAATAGCATTGCTCATATTCATTAGAAAGGGGACGGGAAAAGGTAAAGGATATGACATGTAGGTGGCTGCTGTACTATGTGAAGTTTGGTAAACTGCTTAGTACAATGCTTTCTGTTTTCCTTCTCCAGAGAGAGATGTATGTGGTNACTATGTGAAGTTTGGTAAACTGCTTAGTACAATGCTTTCTGTTTTCCTTCTCCAGAAAAGGTAAAGGATGTATGTGGANTATTATATTATTCATTCCGTTCCTAAATATCTGTCGTTTAAAATTTTTGCACATGAATTAAAAAAGCTATTAAATAGCTCTAATATGAGTAAAAAATAATTATACAAAACTAAAATACTCTTATTCAATACGTATTGAAAAGAAAAAGAATATGAAAGACACTTAGTCTTAACTTAATCTATTGTATTGAAAAGTTAAGGATAAATTTGAAAAAAAAATATTAATTATGCTTTAGTTTCATTAAACGACAGATATTATAGGACAAAAAAAATTGTGTAAAACGACATATATTTAAGAACAATCAATTATATCTAAATAATATTTTTTTTGAGAGAAAATAATATATCCACAAATCTCCCTGTTAAAAAGAAAATGATAGAAAATTTATCTAGACACTCAAATTTAAAGAAAAGAAAATTAAGCTTTTAACTGAGTTGAAATCTCAAAGAGTGTTTGATAAATTGTTAAATAGTTCAATGAATCTTGGTAATTAAATCTTTGTCGTCAAATTACAAGAGATTTATCTTTTATGAAAATTTAAATTTCGACGTAAATAGTTTATTTTGGCCAAATTAAAAAAGATATTAATTGAGATATGTATGAATTGATTTGAATATTATTGACCTAAAATAAAACAATATGATTAATGCTACATGAATTTAAAATTTAGACTTAAAAATTAGATTTGATAATTTCAATCATTGAATAGGTAGTAGGTCCCAATAAATACTGAGATCTACAATAAAATCAATGATTAAGATTATCAAGTCTAATTTTTAAATCTTCTTTTTAAATCTATATTAGCATTCCTCAAACAATATTTAAACCAAGATGTAAATAGTCTACTAGTGTAATTAGGGGGAATGGAGGTACAGGAGCTCATTTCTGATGCAAGAGAAATCNGGAGTTTTTCTGTTCCTTATCTTTTTCGTTTTGTTGCATTTTGGTGGTATAATAAGTATGACAGAAGTTCAATGCTTGATATTATGATATTTAGACAGAAGTTCATTGCCTGCAGTTCACTCTGCTCAATCCATTTTTCAAATGAGTGGGGTCATCTTTTTCGAAATCATGCCAATGTCCTAGTGTGTATGCACTCTTATGTAGATGACAAATAGCAATGTGTCTGTGTAGGAGATCCCTTGTTCTTTCAGTGACGTTGCACAGATGGATTTAAATACGCCGTTTTTGTTATCCTCAAGATTTGCCTTGTCCATGCCATGTTGCCAAACAGGAATCTACGATTGGGTGCTTAAGTCTTACTATTATTGTTAGTATTCAATAGGCTCTTGAGCTTTTGTTTTTTTTTTCTTTTTTTTCAATTATTGAGCTGTGTCTTGTAGAAGTATATTTACCTATGTATTATGACGATTGCTTGGGGAATGACTGTGGGAGTATGCTGTTCTGATGGATATATATTATGTGGCTACGATATCAATGCAAACGTTCTCACCCACCCCTTCAGTGGGGAAAAAAAGTAACAACGGTTGTTATATTCGGTTAATGCTATTTGTACCTAATCAAGGGACCTAACGTATTGTGATATCATTAGATTGATAGTGGACTTCACTCAATGCCGAGATCCACTGCTAATCTAATGACCACAATGCATTAAATCACCAAATTAGGTCCTAAAAAATTGGTCCTAATAGCATTGCTCATATTCATTAGAAAGGGGACGGGAAAAGGTAAAGGATATGACATGTAGGTGGCTGCTGTACTATGTGAAGTTTGGTAAACTGCTTAGTACAATGCTTTCTGTTTTCCTTCTCCAGAGAGAGATGTATGTGGTTTTTTGGCATTTGCATGTTCCTTCTAATACCTGTTCTCAATCATTCATGACGGGCTTCTGTTAACTTTGATAAACGTCACTAATACTTGGTGATCTTTGTGCAGATCTTCCACCTGATAAAGAACCATTGGATTGGTACACAAGAATGAATATAGCTGCTGGCGCAGCTAAAGGTTTGGAGTATCTCCATGATAAAGCAAACCCTCCTGTTATTTATAGGGACTTCAAGTCATCTAACATATTACTAGATGAAGGATATTTCCCAAAGCTTTCTGATTTTGGGCTTGCAAAGCTTGGCCCTACTGGAGACAAGTCACATGTTTCCACCAGAGTCATGGGCACTTACGGTTATTGTGCTCCTGAGTATGCCATGACAGGACAATTAACTGTGAAGTCTGATGTCTACAGCTTTGGGGTAGTCTTCTTAGAGCTCATAACAGGACGTAAAGCCATTGACAGCACCCGCCCCCATGGAGAACAGAACCTTGTCACATGGGTAATCCACTTTACTTTCTTTTATGTGCTATCCTAAATTTATTGTGTTTTAGGGTGGGAGATGTGCTATCTGCCTGGCTTGTGTCCATAATGCAGGCACGACCATTGTTTAATGACCGAAAGAGATTCGCAAAACTGGCGGATCCAAGGTTGCAGGGGCAGTTTCCGATGCGAGGTCTCTACCAGGCTCTAGCTGTGGCATCCCTGTGTATCCAGGAGCAGGCTGCTGCTCGTCCTCTTATTGGGGATGTGGTGACTGCCCTATCTTATCTGGCAAATCAGGCACACGATCCTAGTATAGCTCCTGGACATGGCTACAGGGTATTAAGGGATAAGGACGAGAAAAGAAACAGAGATGAGAGAGGTGGAAGAATATCAAGGAATGAAGATGGGGGAGGATCAGGGCGCAAATGGGACTTGGAAGGGTCTGAGAAGGACGACTCTCCACGAGAAACTGCAAGGATGTTAAACAGGGATTTAGACAGGGAACGAGCTGTCGCAGAGGCCAAAATTTGGGGAGAGAATTGGCGTGAAAAAAGACGACAAAGTGCTCAAGGTGTATTTGATGGCCATAATGGGTAGTGTCCAAATGTCCAATGCCAGGCCCCATCTTCCACCTTGGCTCATTTTCTGCTTGCACGCCTGATGAAGTAAAGAAACACGGGAAGCAGAGGTTTCTATCTACTTTATATGTACATCTTTTAGAAGTTCCATCTTCCTGCTGCAATAGAGACGCTTGAGCTCAAAAGAAAGGACCTGGTGCCAACATGTTAGTTTCTCTTTTTTCTTTCTTTTCTTGAAACATAGAAGACAAAATAAAACAACCACAAGGGAAGTGTATATTTTCGGTTGGGAAAATTCTAGCAGAAGAATAGGATGCATTTAAAAAAATTTTGAGAGTACACGTGTCTCATGATATACTTGGGCTGGTTCTAGCTAGTAGGAAAACATTGTGTGTTTTTTGTAGTCTTCTTTNAAGTGTATATTTTCGGTTGGGAAAATTCTAGCAGAAGAATAGGATGCATTTAAAAAATTTTTGACAGTACACGTGTCTCATGATATACTTGGGCTGGTTCTAGCTAGTAGGAAAACATTGTGTGTTTTTTGTAGTCTTCTTGGTATCAACTAATTGATGTGTTACTTCGTTGAGCCGTAATAGATGTCTGGGTAATCATATGTGTCGAGAACTTATAGTATGTCATGTTTGATAGTTAAGTTGGCATGGTTTTACATCAGGAATTTTTTTTTTTAATGGCCGTTTGACGAGTATAGCCCAATTTCCATTCGAACTTATAATACGTAATGATTTTCTGTATNTGGGTAATCATATGTGTCGAGAACTTATAGTATGTCATGTTTGATAGTTAAGTTGGCATGATTTTACATCAGGAATTTTTTTTTTTAATGGCCGTTTGACAAGTATAGCCCAATTTCCATTCGAACTTATAATACGTAATGATTTTCTGTATTAACACGGGATGAGAATTTGATTTCTTTGAGTTGTAGAATGTAACTTTATGGCAAGTTTTAAGTTCCCAGAGCTACCTCTTGTAACAGGACCAGTATGAATACTCTTTAGTAGACCTCCCATAGCCTCTGATGGTGATGGTGATGTCCTTTTCCAAGATTCTAATCCAAGTTGACTACATTTCGCCACATCAAAAAGCCATTGACTTCGTAAGAAGCACTGCACTTGCAATTGTTACCTTGCTAGACTTTAGCCACTATAGCTATTTGGAACCACCATCCTTTACGGCTTCCTTATCAAAGGATTGAATTTTGACCGATTCAAATCTGAATATTTACATGTCTCGCTCTCATTTTGGCACGTTGTGAAAAACCAGCTGGTTTTATTCCGAGTTTGCCAATTAGGCTTGTAGATTGGTCGAGCTCATGAACTTTTATTTAGGTTAGCATGGGCCTACGTTGGCCTAAAGTGTCTCACAGAAATCTGTGATTCTACTCCTCTCAATTGGAAGATTTTTCCCCATTTTCTAAATTTCAACATACACCTATTTAAATTATTAAAAGATGCCTCATTAAAGTTGAAAAAATAAGGAATAATGCTACTTTGATTTGACATATTTTATTGATCTAATTACATTATTTCTATTAGATTAGCTATGAATCACAATATCATAAGAATTTTACCTTACCGTGAATCCAATAGTGACAAACAAATGTATTAGAATATAAATTAGACTGGTAATTAGTTAGATCTAAATATTATTATTGGGATAAAATTAATGAAACTGTTAAATTAAGAGAATCATCCGGATCCATTAATTTGTATATATATAGGCAAGCTAAGGCGTGCGACTGGCTGTATTTCTTTCTTTTCCTCTTGTGATGCATGTATGTGTGTATATAGCTTGCGCCTGGTAAAGTAGTATCAAACTGGCGGGTGACAGTTGAGGTGGAAGACAAGAACCAAAAGTATCTAAACATAGCTTTATTGATTCATAACATTTCAACTACAACCTCTGCGGCGGGGGTGGGGTTGGGGGGGGGGG